CCCCCACACACACACACACGCAGGGAGAAGACGTGTGGCGCCTCTGTGACCCATCTGGTTGCCGCGAGCCGTGCCTCGTCCAAGACGGCCCGGTGGAAGGAGGCCGAGGACCTCGACATACCCATCGTAGTGGTAGGCACACAACCACATCTAGCCTTCCGACACGAACGTGTGTGCGCCCGCGTGCCTCTGTGCTGGCTGGCTACCTGTCCGTCAGTCTGAGTTTGTGCTGGCGCTGGCCCTCCGCAACCCCGCCCCCCTGGCACCAAGGCACCGCCCGCCAAGAAGCGCAAAGCCAAGCCCAAAGGTGCCACAGCACAGTCACACCACCACCACCACCACCATCTTCTCGTGTCATTCTCACCGCTCAGCGCGGCGTGCGCCTGTCCGCAAGGCTGCTCGGAAGGGCAAGGCCGGGTCGTGGTGGTCGTGGCGGTCGCAAGAAGGTCGTCGCCGAGGAGGATGAGGACGATGACGATGACGAGGCGATGGCGGCGGCGGCAGCGGCAGCGGCCAAGGACGATGAGGAGGAGGAGGAGGAGGAGGAGGACGACGAGGTGAGATGGGGTGGAACGGCGTGGGACGGCATGCCATTCTTCATTGATGCCGACTGTCAGGATGAGGACGATGACGACGACGATGACGAGGAGGAGGATCCCAAAGCCAAGTTCAGGGGATGAGAGGGTGGAAGGGTCGGGGCGGACTTTGGTCTCTCCATGTTTCTCGTATGGCATGCGTTCTCGGTGTGTGTGTGGTGTGGTGTGGTGAATGATGCAGGGCATCCTGCTGCGGCAGCGCAAGTACCTGCAGCCGTACCTTCTCGGCGGAGGACACGGCGACAAATTGGGCAGAGTCAAGGTATGTACACACACACGCAGAGAGAGAGGGAGAGGGAGAGGGAGAGAACTGCATGTATGTGTCTGTCTGTCTGTGTGTCTGTTCCCCCCACTCACTGTAGGATTTGCTGGCTGACAAAGGGCGTGCGATGGAGGAGGGGGAGGGGGAGGCAGCAGGTGCTGCTGCCGCTGCTGATGCCGCCGCGTCATCTCTGGCTCTGTAAGATCGAGAGACCGACAGACACATAGCGACACAGAGACAGATTGTCACATGTCGCCCGCACCATGTGCACATCCCATGTGAGTATTTGCGACAGATTTTGACGTGTCTATCATGAATACATTTCATGTGTTGTCGCTCGCAGTCAATCACTCACACCTGCCTGCCACCCAAACACACCCACACGGGTCTACACAAAGTCTCACCTCGACAACAGCACAAAGCGTATGCAGCCAGCCCACCAATGACCTCCTCTGTCACTGAATGACACCTGCATTCGCTCCCTGCATGCTGTGTCCCAGATCATCCCGCGACTCACAAAAGGCAGCAGGCTGCGTGTGTGGGTGTGTGTGTGGGTGTCTCCATGTAAGTAGTATGTTGTCATGTAAGTAGTAGGTGTCAACAGTTCAGCAGTGGGAAAATACCCCTCTCCAGAGGCTGCGGGTCGACTAGACAGGCAGGCAGGAGTGGGCAGGCAGGCCCGCACTTCTGGTTCCATGTCATGTGCCCTTTTGCCCGCACTTCTGCTCACTTTGAGATCACCTAGCTCTCGCGTCTCTCTGTGCCTTTTTGCGTTTGCGTGTCCCATCCGATGTGCCAGTCATCTGTCAGATGTTTGCACACACACACTTACGTGAGTGAGTGAGGGAGGGAGGGAGGGAGGGACGATGAGAGGCTGCGGGTCGACTCAATTGGGTCGACTCGACAGGCAGGACGGCAAGGCAAGGCAGAGACAGACAGGGCGGGGTTGGACAGCCCGGCCGCTCTACCCTGTAGAGACCGGCAGCCTTTTGCCTTCATGCATTGCAATGCATTGTATCACTTGTGCTCTGCTAGCCTCTCCATCTCATCCACGTCTGTCTGTCTGTCTGTCGATGTGTCTTAACTGCATTCATTGCCCATGGATTCATAAGTGGCAAGTGTCTGTGTGTGTGCGTGTGTGTGTGCGCGTCCGGAGTGTGTCCGGTAGGTGGGGAGAAAGGCCGCGATAGGCCAGTCAGTCAGGAGGGTGACTGACCGGCCGAAAGTGGCAAGGAGGGCACTGTACAGACCTAATATGCGTGTGTGCTGTCTTGTGTGTTGTGTGTTGTGTGAGTGTGTGTCGAGTCGATGTGTCCACTGGTGGTCTGCTCTCCCGGCCCATGTGTTGTTGCAATGCGTTGGGTGGATGGAGGCAGGCTGCCGCTTCTGAACCCAGAGTGAATTCTGAACACATCCAACAATCGGTCACCCAACCCTGAATAGTCGAATGCATCAATGCATTGACAGCGACGTGTCAATCCATTCAAGCCTCCATCCGTCATGCCTCCTCTTCGTCGGCGCCGTGCTCCTCGTCCATGGCCTCGCCCTGCATGGCCTCCGAAGCGTCGCCCAGCTCGAGTGGGTCCTCCATCTCATACACGGACAGGTCGAGCAGCAGGCCGCTCTCGTCCGTCCACTCCTGAGACAGCAACGGCTCGTACACACGAGAATCCCTGATATCCACACACACACACACAGAGAGAGAGAGAGAGAGAGAGACGGTGGATCTGGGCGGGTGTGTGTGTTGTGTCTCTTTATCCCTCCCTCAGTGTGTGTAGTGCATGTGTG